ACTATAAATCTATAATTTAATATTATAATTAATTATTTCAAATCATTTATTAATAATAATGTTTATAATGGAATGTTATAATTGATTAAGTACATCATATAAATATAATAGGTAATGTTATATTAATTAAATTTTTAATCGTTTAATTAAGTAATGTAATAATATAGTAAATCTAATGTTTATAATTTAATGTTATAATTCATAACTATTGTAATTATGTAATCTTTAACTATGTAATGTTATAATTAAGTAAGTATCAAATATTTAATGTATATATAATATTATAATTTAATTGTTAATTATTTAACTATAATGTAATGCTTAATTAATGTTTTATAATGAAATGTTTATAAGGTAATGTTATAATTAATTAAATTTCTTTCTTTAATTAAGTATTATGCTAATGTTTTGTAGTAATTAGTAATTACTAATATCTTAAATATGACATAATCTTAAGTAATTATTTAATTATGTAATGTTATAATTAATTATATAATCATACTATATGTAATGTTTAGTGGATTAACTATTAAGTAACATACTATAAATTTTTAATGTAATATTACAATTAATTAAATTTTTAATCATTTAATTAAGTTTGTACTAATTGTTTATAATAAAATGTTATAATGACTAAGTAATTATAATATAATCTATAACTTAATGCTATAATTAATTAATTTCTAATTATAAATCAATTAATTAACTATTTAATCATGTTATAACTTAAAGTCAATTAATTAGTAGTAATCAATTATGTAATGCTATAATTAATTATCTAAAATCATAAGTAATGTTTAAATTATAATTAATTAAGTAATCATTTAACTATAATATAATGTTATAATTGATTAGTACGATATTTAACTGGTAATTAAATTTTTAATGTTTAACAATTTATCATATATAATTAATTAATTACTAATTTATTATAGATATCGTTAAAACTTATAATTGAAGTAAATAACTAAATATATTATTACTCAATCAAATATACTATTTTATTCAAAATAATTCTTTTAATAACATTAAAAGGTAAAAACCTTTTAATTGGATCATAATTCCATTATTCACTTAATTGATCAAAACTTAATATTAATGTATTATAATATATTAAAGCTTTTAATATGGTGTAATTTATATGTAATAAGTATAATTGTATTTGTATTTTTATTAATTAGGTTATTCTAAAAATTTAACTTTTTCTATTTTAATTTTCTTATATGTAAATAATAGAACTCCATCATTATTTACATTTCACAAATATTTCATTATAGTCCAGGTTCCAAAATAGGTTCTAAACAGTTCTAAAACAGGTCCAAACAGGTTCCAAATAAGTTCCAAAACAGGTTCCAAATAAGTTCCAAAACGGTTCCAAACAGGTTCCAAACCGGGTACCCCCTACATTTTCAAACAGGGTACCCTTTTTACAGGTTCCGATTCCTCCACATACAAGAACCGAACAGAACCGCACAGTAGCGGTTCCAAAAAATTGGAACCGGAACCTACCTGCACAGTGCTGGTTCCGGATAGTTTCGGTTCTGGTTCCGGTTCTTACCCTCGGTTCCGGTTTTACCCCCGCACCCGTGCTCACCCCTTCTTATAGATATACTATGTCCAATAATTCAAAAGCACAGACCTTCTTTAAGGCTTTTCCTCTCTTCAAATCCATTCTTTATTTTATTCATCCATTCAAATAATTATTCGACTCTTCGGTTACCTAACTTTGTATATATCATTTTTTTTCTTCACGAGAGATCGTTATCCAGTGTAGCAGTGAATACAAATATGAAATTAATTCTTTTTTTTTTTTTTTTTTTTTTTTTGCTAATAAAAAATTGTTATAATATTTTAACACACACCAGACATCCTAATTAATCATTGGACCTTAATTTGACTACTTTATACTCAGCTTGCAATTATAACTATAATTATTTTTTTTAATTTATAAAATTAATCGGACAAACTATAAATTTACTTTAAAATCTCGGAATTCATTCGTTTAATGATATTATAACTCAGCTTGCTATTTATACTTAAAGGCCAAATAGCTTGTAGTTTATTATTTTTAATTTTATAAAATTAATCGACAAACTATAAATTTACTTTAAAATCTCGGAATTCATTCGTTTAAATATATATATTAACTATCATACATTGAGACGCTTGAATTTATTTTTATATATTTATTTATCATACATCGATCAGAATTTATTTTTATATATTTATTTATCATACATCGATCAGTACTTATTTTAATATATATACATATATATATTAAGTAAAGAATAATTCATAATCAATACATTTACAAGAAATTATGCCAACTATATGGTTTTGTTTTTATTCATAAGCACCATTTTGAGTTGTTATATTTAAGTTATTAATTCACCTAAAATTTAAGCTTGTAAGTACGGGGTTCAATATTAACTGGCAGACCTAGAGCTGGGCATTGGGACCGGGCCCAAAGCCCAGCTCTAAACACTCGGTCCTAGGACCGGTCCTGGAGAGGACCGACCTAGGGGGCCTGGTCCCAAACGGACTAGCCTAGGAGGAGGGCCCGGACCCTCCACTGGGCCCTCCTCCAGGCCCGGGCCTGGGACCGGTCCCAGGCCGCTGGGCCCAAAAAAAATGTATTTTTTTAATGTATCCTGCCAAATTACATAAAACCCCCGTTAATTTTAAAATAAATATAATTACAGGGTTAAAATAAATATAATTAAATAACAAATATAAAAAAAAAAATCTTCCAGGTCTAAAAAATTATAAAATTTATAAATTTTACCTCTAAAAATACTAAAAACCCCCTTAAAATTTTGTTTTGCCCCCAAAATATAAAAAATTGAGGAGGAAAATAAAATTATCCAGGCCCATGGGACTGGTCCTAGGACCGGTCCTGGGCCCATGGGACCAGTCCCGACCAGGCCTAGGCCGTTTCGGTCCTGGTTTTCTTAGGGCCTGGGACCGATCCCAGGCCCATGAGTGACTGGTCCCATTTGGGACCAGTCCAAACGCCCAGGCCTGGGCCCGCAAGGGACCGGTCCCTTGCCCACCTCTAGCGCAACCCAAATTCAATCTTGATGGGGTTGATCCTTATAGCGGAGCTAGCTAGGGATGGGGCCTGGGGGGGCGGCAATTGGCCCCATGATTTTCAAAATGTTTTTTTATATTTATGCCAAAACATTTGATATTTCATTTTAAATTTTTTTCATTTTCTTAATTTTTATTATATTTTAAATTATATCATTCAAATCCTTTTTGTTTTATTTTAGTAGTTTTTTTTTCAATAATCTTATAAATTTTTATTTAAATAATTATTACTAAATTAAAAAAAAAAACATTATTGAATTGACAAAAGATAGAGACAAACAAAGAAATTAAATTTTCATTTGCCTCATAAGTCATGTCAAGTGATACAATACTTTAAAATAGTGAAATTAATAAATAAGTAATGATTAAACAATTTGGCTTTTTTTTCTAATAATCTTAATATTTTATAATTGTCCCTCTTATATAATAAAAATATTTTATAAATTTAATGTGATTTGTTCTAAAAAAACTCCCAAAATCTTTAGGGGTCGCAATTGAATTTCATCTAAAATTATACATAATTTTATTAGAACCCCGGGCTTAAGGGGTTGCTCCAGTTCCACCGTTGAATATTAATATTCATTCCAAATTTCTAATAGAAATCAAATCGGCTCAAACATGACCCGAACTTGATTTTACTCTCCCCTAAACATAAGAAACCTTAGCTTCTTTTATTTATTTATCTTCAACAGAAAAATATCATATACATGTAAGTATTGTAAATGATAAATACTAAATTTTTAAGTGGAAATTTGAAATATAAACAAAAAAAAAAAAAAATTGTTTGGTTCTAATTATATAACTTTCGAAGGTGCAGTGGCCCATTATGTGACAATGGTAAGCTAAATCATTTTGAGATTAATCCTACTTTTACCAACCGAGGGATTGATGATCTAAAACAGAAGTGTAGCGAAAGAAATGAGAAGAAAATAGATAATAGAACACATACCTACTTTCTACTTTAAACTTTAGAATCATCTTTTAATAATAAAGAGCCACGTCTACAGATTTTTTCATTGTGCTTCACTTTATGATAAAGATTCAAACCAACAAAAAATAGCATGCCTTCTTACCCACCTAATATTAATAATCAAAAACTAGGTTAAGTTTTATAAACAAATATATATTCTCAATTATTTTGACAAAACGTCTCAAAGTTTTGTATCTCAAAATTATTATAATCTGGCCCAATTAATTAAAAAAAATATAAATCATTTAGAGTCTTCTGGATGGCAACGTGCAACATGTTTACAGAAAAGGCCATACTATTTAATTTTGATTTTGACTCATCCCCATATCCTGTGTGAAAAGTTGAATGTTGAAGGACAAAAAACACACAATTAATTAATTAGTTTTTAACTCAATTATGGCCTTCCCCCTGTACATTGAGATGATATATATATATATATATATATATATAACAAGAAAACACATTATCCATAAAAGAAACACAAATAATGCAATCTTGTCTGGTGACCCAGCCAAAACAAAGAAAATTATCCACAATGTGTGGTTTTCAATGCAGAGAAATTCGAATATGGGTTCCTAGCCAATGAATCAGTAAATAAATGTATGCATAAAATGTATATGGTTATCCAGAATATAAATAAATAAATTCAAGTAAAAGGTCTGTGGAAATCTCTTATGGATCCTAGCATCTGAGGGCACCTTCAAATGGAACCCATTTCTGGTATGAATTTTGTTTGTCCATTTGTGAATTAATGCCGCTTAGACATCAGGGCCCTGGAATATCATGGGCTAGCGTAACACTATTCATGTTATTGGCATTCTTGTTATTGTCACACCCCTTTCACTTCACCCCCTCTTATTATTTTAATTAATTATTGTACCTCATTCGAGCCATATATAAATAAAGGAACTTTTGCCTTAAAGTTCCCCATACACATTCAGTAAACCAAAGTTTCTTCTCTCTCTGTATTTTCTCATGTCTGCTCAGTGGAACAAAACCATGGCCTTAGCTCTCATGCTCGCCGCTCTTCTTCCGTTGTGTTTTGTTCCCTGCTCGGCTGAGCTTCAGCGATTCGAACAAGACGCTAAAGCCGATGGATCGCTTAGCTTTTTGGTCGTCGGAGACTGGGGAAGAAGAGGACTCTACAACCAAACAAAAGTTGCTCACCAGGTGATCATCCTATTTGATTTTATTTCCTCCTTCTATACAATAGTTTTCAGAATCAAAACATAAGTTTTTTTTTTTTTTTTATCATTTTTAACGCATTAATGTTTCTAATTCAAGAACTCGGAAGCATAGATTATCTTTCCTTCTAAAAATCAATTACTTAGAACATTATTTAATTAGCATTATTAGTTTATCATATTATTTCAACTGGTGCATAATCTTCTGGGGATAATCTGAACGGCCTAGTTATTTACTAGAATCAAAGCATTATATTTTAAGAGAATAAATTCTTCTGACCAATGATGTAACAGGACGTGACATCCAAAGGGATGACACATCATCACTGTCAATTTCATTCTTTATATTATATCAATTTATCCCTCGTCTTTTCTTTTGTTGTTTTCGAATAAGTGTAAGTATAATTCCATATAGATTCCAGATCCTCTCATTATACATAAAATAACAAAAAATAAATAAATTTTATAAATAATTAAGTTTTAAATGATAAAAAGACATTTTGATAAAATCTATTAATTTATAATAATATAAATTTAATGTTTAATTAATAATATGAAAAAAAATATATTTCAAAAATCTCAAAATTTTTATTATTATATCACACCTCGGTCTATGTTCATTGGCAAATTAATTAGCCAACCAAGGGGAAACGATGCATAGCCTGTATAATTGGCTAGCATGCCAAAATTATTTATATCATAAGTCCAAAATAAAATTGATATAAATCCAGTCAAAGTTTCTGTTTCTTCTTCTTACATTCTGACACAGCAGAAGGAATAGAAATAAAGAAGAGATGGCGTGTACTTGACTAATTACTCAGAACCTTTAATCTGAAGATGAGATGAGAGCCACTAGATTAATATTCTCACTCCAGTAAAGCTTTCTTATCAGGCTACGTGAGATATATTTACTTTATTAGAACTTACTTTTTTCATGAATACAATAACTCTATGCAGATGGGAATAATTGGAGAGAAGCTAGACATTGATTTTACAATCTCAACTGGAGATAATTTTTATGACAATGGATTAACTGGTGTGGATGATGCTGCATTTTTTGAGTCGTTTGTCAAAATATACACAGCTCCAAGCCTCCAAAAACCATGGTACACTGGTAATATCCGGACCTTATATTATTAATTAATTAGTTTTAACAAATAATATTTCTTTATATCTATTGAGTTTCAGTTCTGGGAAATCATGATTATCGTGGTGATGTTGAGGCACAATTGAGCCCTATCCTTAGAGAAATAGACAGCAGATGGATTTGCCTCAGATCTTTCATTGTTAATGCTGGTAAGGCTTCACCATGCACCTTTCAAGTTTCCAAATTAATATTTTATCTATAAAATTAATCATATGTAACATTTTTAATTATACATTAAGTTCCATAAAGAAAATACTGATAATTTCTTATTTTGTTGTTATTTCTTTTATGAAATTGGCAGAAATTGCAGAAATTTTCTTTGTGGATACCACTCCTTTTGTTAAGAAATACTTCGCAGAACCAGAAGACCATACTTACGACTGGAATGGTATAAGACCCCGAAAGCAGTACCTTTCAAACTTCCTGCAGGTAATTTTCAACTAAATTTACCACAATAATATATAAATGTAACATGTATAAATAACATAAATTAAAGATTTAGTATATATATTTTGTAATTTGTATTGTAATAGGATTTAGATTCAGCTCTGAGACGATCAACGGCTAAGTGGAAGATAGTAGTTGGTCATCACACAATCAAAAGTGCTGGTCATCATGGTAACACTCATGAACTTGCTCTGCAACTTCTCCCAATCCTTCAGGTAATTAATAATATAACCAGTTTTCACACTTAATTAATATATAACTTGTACGCATTAATTGTTGTTTTAATTCCTCAGGCAAATGATGTCGATCTTTACATTAATGGACATGACCATTGCTTAGAACAAATTAGTAGCACTGATAGGTACGTAATATTTTCGTACTGATCAAGTATCCATCTAATTTTTGATGATATTATTCCTATTAATAATATAAAGTTTTTTTACGTGCAGTGGAATTGAATTTTTAACGAGTGGAGGAGGATCAAAGGCATGGAGAGGTGATGTAGGGTGGTGGAATCCCAAGGAAATGAAGTTTTATTACGATGGGCAAGGCTTCATGTCGGTCCAAATTATCCCTACACAAATCGACATAATTTTCTACGATATTTTTGGTAATGTTTTGCACAAATGGTCTACTTCGAAACAACTTTACTCTACCATATAGAAATCCTAACCTGTTCAAAATGAATTGCTCATCTTTCTACTGATGTTGAACATTGATTGAGATTGTCATTCTAATGTAATGGGTATTTTTATTGATCGAGTTACTTGACCCTCGAAGTTTAATTCAATAACAAAAATCCCTCTTAAGATTTTTGAAATAACAAAATTCCTCTAAGCTAAGGAAATATTTACTGCAGTTACTCCAACTTTCAAGGGTAAAATATAATCAAATCATTTACATATTATAAGACTGATATCTGCCCTGAATTTATGAAAATAATGCACATAAAGTTCCTACTAATTTAGTAATTAACAGTATTCTAATTTGACACCCTTTATTAAAGATTAGGGCACTATAATTTGGTGATGGTTTATGAGTCAGATTAAATTAAGAAACGTCAATTGTAAAAAGGCATAATCCAAGCATATTCTAAACAAATTCCTATATGTTTAAAGCCGCAATATAATTTCTCAACATATCACTATAAAAGTTCACATCAACGGACCAAAAGGAGATGCACAATGAATAATGATGTATTTGTAACGACGAAAAGGATTATCCCATTTAAAGGTTGAAATCAATTAATTCAGTTTCCCTACGTCTCCGTATAACTTTGCGTGCTATATTAACAATATTTCTTTACGTGCCAATCCCTTATTGGTTTATTGAGTACTGTCCATAAACGAATGATGTTGATGTATATCCATGCAAATTGTTTTTGCGAAAGTAATTGAATATATAAAGATTAATAATATTATCAAACAAATAAAAATGTAATGTCACACCAATTTAAAATTAATTTATATAGTATTATATGGGTAATTTTGCCACTTTTATGCTTTCCAGCCCATAATATAAAATTCTTTGCTGAGATAACTTGTATTACGAAAAGAAATTTAATCCAGTCCATAATGGTACAGGACAATATTTTAAAAAATGTGCAAATGACTTAAAACAGAAACTTTAAGAACTGAAATTAATTAGTGTAATCCCAATTACTCTACAAATCATAAAAATTATTTAAAGTTGGTATTAATTAATTAGACTTATTTTGATATACCATTTCCATATTGGCATCAATGTTGATGTTAATACTTAATAAAGCATATTCTGATGTAGATATATACATCAATTTGTTTAGCTAACCTCAATCCATTATTAATAAATTCAATTGTATATTTGACTTTCTAATCTTATATTTATGAAAGCTTGAATCACCACTATTTATGATATTGATTGTTTATCTGTTTAATTACTTAATTCACCTAAATACATCATTAATTCCATATAACTTAATTCTTCTAATTAATTAAATTTAATTAATATCATTAAGTGGATAAAATTAAGTTAGCGTAAGGCTGAAGAAATATATGTATAATAAAAATAATCAAAACCATTGAAGTTTTCTTTTAACTTCTTATAAAATTCCGATTTAAATTATGATGATTTTCTTGCTTTAATTATTAATTTCATTATACAATAAGACCTCTCTATAGTCATAATGATGGGATTAACCAATTTTATTACTATGAGGAGATTATAACTTAATGAAGGTGTTATTACAAAAATTATTGTTTTGATTTTTTATTTTATAATTCATATTTTAGTAGTATATTATTAGGATTTCAATTTATATTTTAGTAGTATTAGGATTTTAATTCAGTGGTTTAATTGTCCACTTTTGAAATGGATAGAAGATCATATCTTAAAACCAGTAAAGAAAAGTATCATTGATGAAATTATAAATGCAGTTGATGCATGGTCAATTAATGTGAAGCCACAAACAATTGTCAATGGTTTTAAGCATTACAAAATTAGAACTCTCAGTGTCGATGAATTGCAAGTTATAAATGAAGTAGATGAGAAGAATAAAAGAGTCATTGCAAAATTGAGGGATCAGATTCGACAACTTCACTACACTAATCGAATGGATATTAATGTCTTCTCGATCATTCAAATGAGCAACAAATCGTGTATGTTTTAACAAAAGAAGAAATCATTGCGACAATTAGACAATAAGAGAAAGGAAATAGTCCTAAGGATGATAGTATGGAAATACAAAAGTTTTCATGCCATGAAAGTCTAAACATGCTTGAGAAGCCAAAAATATTTTGGCTTTAACAAGAAAATGTCCATGTTAGCGAGTTATTACGTACTCGCAAGGTAAAAAATATGGTAAGAACTCTAAAACATAAATCATTGTCTCAAACAACTTTAGATAAGTATTTTATTTTATCTTAAATCTTTAATGTAACGTAACATATATTTTTTTATAATATACATATAATTATTACTATATAGAGCCAACTTTCCTTAAGACAGGAATTAAAAAAATTATAACTTATTATAATGTGGCGTTTATTCTTATTTATAACTATCCCAAATTGGGACTATAATTTTTTATAACTATGTAGAATTTATTCTTATAGAGAATACCACTATAAAGAGGTTTTACTGTATAATATTTAAATTTTTGCTATCGACTGCTTGCCTTCCATAACACATTGATCCTCAAAATCTTCAATACATAAAATATGGATTATGCTTGTTATAATAAATAGTAGCCCTCTGATTTTACTATTAGTACTTTAAAAAAATATAAATATATATATGGGAGATGCCATTGCTTGGTGAGGTTATTAAGCCAATAAGGACCACTTGATCATGGCCAAAGGTTTAACAACAATTTAATTGTGATAATTGGGCCAATGGGAAAGTATGCCCCTAAAAATAAATGATATATATATATTGGGTAAGTAAATTGTTATTAATATATTGTTTTGATTGTTAATTGATAGCTTTTGAAATGTAAAGGAAGTGAATGAAACATTAAGGGAATCAAACAGCTAAATGGAAAATAGTAGTGGGTCATCATGACCATACAATCAATAAGTGCTGGACATCATGGTGTCACCCAAAAGATTCAGTTTCACCTTCTACCAATCCTTGAGGTAAATATTTTCAAGACATTTTTAACAATTCATAACGTAAGAACAATAACAAAATCTACCTATCTATCTTATAAACCAAAATTCTCATACATATATTTTCATTTTTTTAGGAAAACAATGTAGATATGTATATACATTGTTTGGAACATACAAGTAGATGTTCCAAAGGCTTGGAACATACAAGTAGCTCAGGAATTGAATTTTTAACAACTGCAGGAGGATCAAAGGCTTGGAGAGGAGATGTAAAGTGGCGGAATCCAGAGGAATTGCTATGATGGACAAGGCTTCATGTCTCAGCAAATCAATCAAAGTGAAGCTCATATTTTAAATTATGATGCTTTTGGTAACATTTTGCACCAATGCAGCATCTCCAGAAAGCTTAATGAAGCTGCTTAGAATATCTGATTTGCTAGTTGTGGCCTGTGGGAGATATTGGAATATCAAATGAGAGAATTTTAGATGTTATATCTATGGAAAGCAAACGATACATATATAAGTGAATTTTATAAGTACAAATAAAATAAAGGAAGATTAGATAAATTTCCTCTAACCTCTGCAATTAGTCACTAGGGGGGAATTATGACAAATTTAATAAACACAGCCCTTGATTACTAACACCCGATAAGTCTGTCACCTTTAAAATTGACTATTTTGTAGCCCACAAAGATTTACAATCATCAAAAGAATCAAACCATCTAACCCTCAAAGGAACATCTTATAAGTCAGCCATGGCAATAGTAGAAGTTCATATATGCTACCAATTTTAAAGTTCACTTCTTGACAGGACCGGGATTTGATCCCTCTCTCTCTTGCTTCGACAACAAGAGATTGAAACAATTACGGTATTCCCTTCACAATAAACACATTGTTTTAATTTCTAATCTTCTCATGCAAATTTGTTTCCTAAAAATCCTTACCTTATGGTTCATTGTCAACGAGATGGTTCCTAATTTCAATTACAGGAATTCACAGTTAGAACCTCGTCAATCACATGAAACTTATAATTATATTAAGATTTTTATGTCCAAGCACAATTTTCATCCTGTCACCCAGTGGTTTGTTCAAAAATTCCTTGTTCTGTTAAGCACAAAACATTATACATTAGAGCACACGAAGCTTCAAAATGAATGATGAATCTAAAATATTAGAACCGAAATTACCAAATAAGCAACAACATTCAACCCTAATATTCAAGCATTTTCACTCATTAGTAACAACACAAAAGATTAATTTGATTAGAGATCAGACCATCGCACAGTCCAAGTAGCTAACAAGAAACTAACCTTTCTTCTCGAGACCCATTAAATGGAATACTGAAAATTGATTGATGAGTTCTCCAACATGGTAAACTAAATAGTAGTTCTTTATGTAACTTGCAGATATAACCTTCCCATGCCATAATAGCAGCAGAAAATTTAGCCCAATCAAAGGAATGGTGCTCATTCTCATCGATAGAGACAAGGTGGAAAGCTGACCCAGCACATAGATCATCCTTAAAAAAAGTAGACTTTAGCCCACTGATTTTCTCCCGCTGTGATTGTGATAATTGTAACACTTTGTCAGCTCCTATTTCAACTTTGGAAGTTGGGAATTCAGACGCTTTCCAATGGAAAAACTGCACTACCTATTTAGCATTACAAATTAGTTCAAGTCACTAGTGGCAGAATACACTTCATCGAAGTTTCTGCTTTTTCTTTTAAAAAAATAAATATTAATAATTGAATAAAAATGTTACAACTTCTGGTAGGGCTAGAGCACCAGCCCCACTTGCGCACTTACACATAACTAATATTTCAGGAGTTAACTAATTAAATATGGGTTGTCTTAACATGTGTCCTAAGACCACTAAAAAACAAAATGTTTACTTATCTCGATGTCTATATGTACAAAAAGACAAAAAAAAACTCTAATGCAGTGATATGCTCATTTTTTTTCTACTGTAATGTCACACCAATTTAACATTAATTTATATAGTATTATATGGGTAATTTTGCCACTTTTATGCTTTCCAGCCCATAATATAAAATTCTTTGCTGAGATAACTTGTATTACGAAAAGAAATTTAATCCAGTCCCCGTCTGTTCTGTCCATAATGGTACAGGACAATATTTTAAAAAATGTACAAACGACTTAAAACAGAAACCTTAAGAACTGAAATTAATTAGTGTAATCCCAATTACTCTACAAATCATAAAAATTATTTAAAGTTGGTATTAATTAATTAGACTTATTTTTATATACCATTTCCATATTGGCATCAATGTTGATGTTAATACTTAATAAAGCATATTCTGATGTAGATATATACATCAATTTGTTTAGCTAACAAAATGCCTCAATCCATTATAAATAAATTCAATCATATATTTGACTTTCTAATCTTATATTTATGAAAGCTTGAATCACCACTATTTATGATATTGATTGTTTATCTGCTTAATTACTTAATTCACCTAAATACATCATTAATTCCATATAACTTAATTCTTCTAATTAATTAAATTTAATTAATATCATTAAGTGGATAAAATTAAGTTAGCGTAAGGTTGAAGAAATATATGTATAATAAAAATAATCAAAACCATTGAAGTTTTGTTTTAACTTCTTATAAAATTCCGATTTAAATTATGATGATTTTCTTGCTTTAATTATTAATTTCATTATACAATAAAACCTCTCTATAGTCATAATGATGAGGACTAACCAATTTTATTACTATGAGGAGATTATAACTTAATGGAGGTGCAATTACAAAAATTGTTGTTTTGATTTTTTATTTTATAATTCATGTTTTAGTAGTATAGTATTAAGATTTCAATTCATATTTTAGTAGTATTAGGATTTTAATTCAGTGGTTTAATTGTCTACTTTTGAAATGGATAGAAGATAATATCTTAGAACCAGTAAAGAAAAATGTCATTGATGAAATTATAAATGCAGTTGATGCATGATCAATTGATGTGAAGCTACAAACAATTGTCAATGGTTTTAAACATTGTAAAATTAGGACCTTCGATGTCGATGAATTGCAAGTTATAAATGAAGTGGATGAGAAGAATAAAAAAGTCATTGCAGAATTGAGGGATTAGATTCGACAACTTCACTACACTAATCGAATGGATATTAATGTCTTCTTGATCATTCAAATGAGCAACAAATCGTGTATGTTTTAACAAAAGAAGAAATCATTGCGACAATTAGACAATAAGAGAAAGGAAATAATCCTGAGGATGATAGTACGGAAATACAAAACTTTCATATCATGAAGGTCTAAACATGCTTGAGAAGCCAAAAATATTTTGGCTTCAACAAGAAAATATCCATGTTAACGAGTTATTACGTACTCGCAAGGTAAAAAATATGGTAACAACTCTAAAACATAAATCATTGTCTTAAACAACTTTAGATAATTATTTTATTTCATCTTAAATCTTTAATGTAACATAACATATATTTTTTTAATAATATACATATAATTATTACTATAGAGAGCCAATTTTCCTTAAGATGAGAATTAAAAAAATTATAACTTATTACAATGTGAAGTTTATTCTTATTTATAATTATCTCAAATTGGGACTATAATTTTTTATGACTATGTAAAATTTATTCTTATAGAAAGCATCAATATAAAGAGGTTTTACTGTATAATATTTAATTTTTTACTGACGCTGCTTGCCTTCCATAACACATTGATCCTCAAAATCTTCAATACACAAAATATGGATTATGCTTGTTATAATAAATAGAAGCCCTCTGATTTTATTATTAGTACTTTAAAAAAATATAAATATATATATGGGAGATGCCATTGCTTGGCGAGGTTATTAAGCCAATAAGGACCACTTGATCATGGCCAAAGGTTTAACAACAATTTAATTGTGATAATTGGGCCAATGGGAAAGTATGCCCCTAAAAATAAATGATATATATATATTGGGTAAGTAAATTGTTATTAATATATTGTTTTGATTGTTAATTGATAGCTTTTGAAATGTAAAGGAAGTGAATGAAACATTAAGGGAATCAAACAGCTAAATGGAAAATAGTAGTGGGTCATCATGACCATACAATCAATAAGTGCTGGACATCATGGTGTCACCGAAAAGATTCAATTTCACCTTCTACCAATCCTTGAGGTAAATATTTTCAAGACATTTTTAACAATTCATAACGTAAGAACAATAACAAAATCTACCTATCTATCTTATAAACCAAAATTCTCATACATATATTTTCATTTTTTTAGGAAAACAATGTAGATATGTATATACATTGTTTGGAACATACAAGTAGATGTTCCAAAGGCTTGGAACATACAAGTAGCTCAGGAATTGAATTTTTAACAACTGCAGGAGGATCAAAGGCTTGGAGAGGAGATGTAAAGTGGCGGAATCCAGTGGAATTGCTATGATGGACAAGGCTTCATGTCTCAGCAAATCAATCAAAGTGAAGCTCATATTTTAAATTATGATGCTTTTGGTAACATTTTGCACCAATGCAGCATCTCCAGAAAGCTTAATGAAGCTGCTTAGAATATCTGATTTGCTAGTTGTGGCCTGTGGGAGATATTGGAATATCAAATGAGAGAATTTTAGATGTTATATCTATGGAAAGCAAACGATACATATATAAGTGAATTTTATAAGTACAAATAAAATAAAGGAAGATTAGATAAATTTCCTCTAACCTCTGCAATTAGTCACTAGGGGGGAATTATGACAAATTTAATAAACACAGCCCTTGATTACTAACACCCGATAAGTCTGTCACCTTTAAAATTGACTATTTTGTAGCCCACAAAGATTTACAATCATCAAAAGAATCAAACCATCTAACCCTCAAAGGAACATCTTATAAGTCAGCCATGGCAATAGTAGAAGTTCATATATGCTACCAATTTTAAAGTTCACTTCTTGACAGGACCGGGATTTGATCCCTCTCTCTCTTGCTTCGACAACAAGAGATTGAAACAATTACGGTATTCCCTTCACAATAAACACATTGTTTTAATTTCTAATCTTCTCATGCAAATTTGTTTCCTAAAAATCCTTACCTTATGGTTCATTGTCAACGAGATGGTTCCTAATTTCAATTACAGGAATTCACAGTTAGAACCTCGTCAATCACATGAAACTTATAATTATATTAAGATTTTTATGTCCAAGCACAATTTTCATCCTGTCACCCAGTGGTTTGTTCAAAAATTCCTTGTTCTGTTAAGCACAAAACATTATACATTAGAGCACACGAAGCTTCAAAATGAATGATGAATCTAAAATATTAGAACCGAAATTACCAAATAAGCAACAACATTCAACCCTAATATTCAAGCATTTTCACTCATTAGTAACAACACAAAAGATTAATTTGATTAGAGATCAGACCATCGCACAGTCCAAGTAGCTAACAAGAAACTAACCTTTCTTCTCGAGACCCATTAAATGGAATACTGAAAATTGATTGATGAGTTCTCCAACATGGTAAACTAAATAGTAGTTCTTTATGTAACTTGCAGATATAACCTTCCCATGCCATAATGGCAGCAGAAAATTTAGCCCAATCAAAGGAATGCTGCTCATTCTCATCGATAGAGACAAGGTGGAAAGCTGACCCAGCACATAGATCATCCTTAAAAAAAGTAGACTTTAGCCCACTGATTTTCTCCCGCTGTGATTGTGATAATTGTAACACTTTGTCAGCTCCTATTTCAACTTTGGAAGTTGGGAATTCAGACGCTTTCCAATGGAAAAACTGCACTACCTATTTAGCATTACAAATTAGTTCAAGTCACTAGTGGCAGAATACACTTCATCGAAGTTTCTGCTTTTTCTTTTAAAAGAATAAATACTAATAATTGAATAAAAATGTTACAACTTCTGGTAGGGCTAGAGCACCAGCCCCACCTGCGCGCTTACACATAACTAATATTTCAGGAGTTAACTAATTAAATATGGGTTGTCTTAACATGTGTCCTAAGACCACTAAAAAACAAAACGTTTGCTTATCTCGATGTCTATATGTACAAAAAGACAAAAAAAAAAATTCTACTGCAGTGATGTGCTCATTTTTTTTCTACTGGTCTCAACGTATACCCTAAGGGCACACGTTAAGGCAACCCATCAAATATTCAGGAGGAGACCTATCGAGACTTCACCTATTTGGAAAGTTCATTTAATAATTCCTACATGTAATATGAATGAAAATTCAGCAGGCTTATTAATATTTTCTTGGTTAGGTACAATGCTTCCTGAATTCTCATAAAATGGAAACTAAATAAATCTCTACAAAGGGATAGTGAGTGAAATGGTGAGGAGACACAGAAGAAAGCATAGCTTTTCGATATCGACAAGAATGTTAGATGAAACATACATGACATCGTTATGGTGCCTCAAGTCAATATATGCATCAGATTAAATCTTCTTTTATCTACAATAAACATTACAAGAGGAAAAACTTAAAAGTACCTGAAGTGCATGCAAAATGTTGACGAACTCTTTGCTGAACAACTCATCTGCCCTAGCTAATTGCAGTGGCTCCAACAGTAGTTCAGAGAAATCTGAGAAATTGTCCATATCTTGAGAAAAATAAATACTATATCCCAGAACAAGCATTCTTGCCCAGCATATGTTAAACCCTAGCTCCTGATCAGAAGATTGATTGGGAGCAAACCAGTACATGTTACTGGATGCTGGTAAAGGTAGGCACGTATCAAACACGTTATCAGATCTATGCAGAACGCTTTGTTGTGAAAGAATAGAAATAAGTTTAGCATCCTCATCGTGGGAACTATCACGACTGAACCATAATGTAAGTGTTAGTCTTTCCCCATCCGTTACCTGAAAAAAAAAAAAAAAATTAGCATCAGAATACCATGAGATCCATAAACGATGCAGTTAGAAACCAAAGTGCAGAACCATAACTCTCTGGCTTTGAAGAATAAAATAAATGCTTTAATGATTTATACTGATAGAAGATTATCATCAAAGGAATAATAAAAAGTACAGTGCTAGTTTATCGTGTAAAGTTTGTTTGGGTCCCCCTCTTCAAGAAAAACACTCAAGTCATTCTGATACAACATTCTTCTAATATGTATCAGTGCAGAAATAAAATTTCATAATTTCCAATCTACTCCTACTACTAGTAATAATCAACATGCAGAAGAACCATGAATATGAGTGAAGAAATAAAAAGATGTAAAAATTAAAAAACCACACTCATAGATAGGAGCATTATACGCATAAATTTTCATCACATTACCATCATATGCCTCACCATTCAAAGGATGCTCACATATTGATACCAAAACAAACCACTTAATAATCTTTTACTTAAAAAAGTGGAACATAGTACATAATAATTGGAGAAAGCGATGTACACGAGAGAGAAAGAACGAGAAAAATGAACCTCATCAACGGAATGAATATTGCGGCTGTCAGCTGTGTACATCACAACATCCTGATAAAAGAAAAAAAAAATCAACAAGAATAAATCCAGTGGATTGGACCTTACATGACAAGCTACCAATACGATGAGAACCAAAACAATTACAAGTTTCTACTATAGATGATTAAACCACTGCATTAAAATGTCACCTAAGTCTAAACATGTACTTTCACTTACTAACAAAAACTGCCACATTCTATCTGCTTTTTCGGAAATTCTCATATAGGCATGTGTTATCATACTGTATTTTAATGTTGAAACATTACTGAATAAAAGGTTACATTTTGTGCTCTTTCTTCCCTAGAAAATGGTGTACTAAACATTCTTAATTCATGATTACGTATGAACATGAAAAAACCCTCTCTTAAGTCTTCATTTATACTTAATGTGGTGAATGCAAATATCTTGAGAAGCATTCAGTGACATCACTTACTCCAGCCATAGGTGCAAAAGTTTTTGGTTCTCCTTCCTGGAAGTTAAAAAGTCCTCCTTCAAAATCCTTTCCATAACTATTCAAATAACAGACTGCCTTTTCAACAACAGAAGCATGACAACTGTGAGAAGGAGTCATAAAGATTTATATAAAAAAGCAGATGCCACAACCATGAGAATAACTTAATTCATACATCACTATAAGAATATATTTGATCTATGAGGAGAGTTATAATTGATGCAAACTACCGAGGCTAAAATGAAAGATAAAATGATGTTTTTCAGTAGATAGCTGCAAACCATGGTTTAAATATCACCTACACTAATTAAATTTGACTTAGAATACCAGTCTCTGGTAGAGAATATTAATCTTTATTTTCATATATTTTCAGCACCATATAACCAAGCAGACTATTTTTCCGCACTAATCTTAAAGATTTTCAGACCATCTAATAGATTTATTAAAATGAAAATCAGTGAAAAAAAATGTAAAGATATTGATATCTTTGTTCCTGCTTATTTATTTTTTCTTGTTTGTTTTTCAGATTTTCCTAACTTCAAAGTATGTAATAGCATTGAAAACTCAAGTATTTTGGCAGTTAAAATCTCATTTACAATGGATAAATCTCCTCAACAAACAGTATTAAGCCGTGCTTCTCATAAGCTTAATTGCACAAATCACTAGTACCATACTCCCTGCCATTTCCAAATTTATACATTTCTTTTTTTCCCTTTTTTAAAAGATGCATTTCATGAAACAATATTTGTAAAGCTCCAACAAAATTTTGTTCATTAAAATAATAACTTGAATCAGTACCTATCACTTCCTTCTCATATTGATATATATACATCATTTTGAATCTCAATCTATCCCTTGACATCAAAATTCAAGAACTTGCTAAAAATAAACAAAGTAAACACGAGCTGCACTCACCGTAAAGTCCCGTTGTTTGAGATAGGGTCTGTTATCATCACTGTGCCACCCAATGCTAGCTCCTCTGGTCCAGCTGATCATTGATAAACGCTATAATCAGATTTTTAAATGGTAATCACTAATAAAAAAACTAAAAGAAATATTACTACTCTCTAGGGAAAGCACGATCAAACACATAACTATCACAACATTGCAAAAGAATGCAGATGAAAAGACATCACAGTATAAACCCAAAAAAGAAACTATATTCTCAATAAGTCAGCTCAAATAAGAGCCACCATGTCCACATTTCCACAAGTAAATTCTTTGTCTGCATAAGGGTTTTTCCTAACAGCATCTCACTACAAGGTTCACTAATTTAAAGCTTTTCACCAGTAATACTGAATGCAAAACTTGTAACAATTTGAGCTGAAAAAAAAATTACAAATCTGATTAATGCTATTAAAATATGAGCTTTAAAAATAACAACTGCAAAAAAAAAAGAAAATATTACTAGAATATAAAAAATAAAAAAAAAATAAAAAAAAATAAAAAAAGACCTTATTAAGCCGGTGAATTCCACAACAAGCTCATACTCACAGCCAAAAAACTCCTCAAGTTTTTCTTTCAATCTCTCTGCCATTAAAAACGAAAAAAATAATTATTTATTTAGTAAATAAAAAAAAGAAAAGAAAAGGATGGTGTTAAAGTAGATGGTCTTACCTCTGATGGGAACAAAAGGCATGATGAAATGAGCAGAAATTAGTGGCGATGAGATGAGAAAGAGTGGTTGAGAAGACGTTGGGTCTATACCCCATGTGCTGCAACTTGTGGTATGAATTCAGTTCCTATAAATCAAATTTCGGAAATTCAAAACAAAAAAAATGAAAACCCATAAAAAAAAGTTGTAATACTAATGACCTTGCATTCTTCAGTGCTTAGGAAATTCTTAGTATCAGTCTGGGATGATCGCTCTCCGCCATTAACACCGTTCTGGTCTTTCTGGTTCGTTTGATTTCAGTGTTATGAGGAAATTTAACTGTCGGCCATCCCAAGTTTCCATTAACAAAATGTCATAAGAATCTTTTTTATTTTTTTAGGTTAAAAAATATGACGTGGCATACTTAAGTGTAATTAAAGCAGTAAAAAGGATTAGGGTGAAAAGATTTAAAAATTTAGGGTTAGAGTATAATAAAGAGAGTGATTTAAAATTTGAAAGGCAGAACACATTTCTCTATGTTCTTTCTCTCTCTCTCGTTTTTTTTTCCAATTTTCTGCAATTTCTCAATTCTTTGCTCTTGCATTTTATTCATTCATTGTCATTCCGATTAAGTTATAATGGCTGAGTCCTTAAAGAAACAGAAAAAACCACCATATACTCCCAAATTTTAGGCATGATTGGGTCTACCAAAAATGGAGAAGAAGAAGTTGTGGTGGGAGTAACTTCCGATGACTGAAGTTGCTCCACTAGGAGAGGAGACGGTGTCGACGGACGAATATTCTATGGTGAAACAAGGGAGGGCAAGAGTTGAAATTGAAACTGAAGAGGAGGATGCTGACGCAAATCTAAGCGTCAGACGTCAGACATGATCGCTTAAGCGATCTAAAATCGCTTAAGGACGACCAAGAGTAAAAGCAAAGGATCGCTTAAGCGATCTGGTATATGACAGAAGATCGCTTAAGCGACTATAGTATAAGCGATTTTAGATCGCTTAAGCGATCATGCATGGGCAGAAGTTGATTCTGCCTCGGACATGATCGCTTAAGCGATTATAAATCGCTTAAAGCGACCAACGTTAAAAGCAAAGGATCGCTAAGCGATCATGCGTCTAGGCACTATTTATTGTCATTCATGATCGCTTAAGTGACCAACAATAAAAACGAAGAATCGTTTAAACGATACTTAAGCGATCCTGCGTCTCGGCATTTTTTATTGTCTTGTTCATGATCGCTTAAGCGACCAATAGTAAAGCGAAGAATCGCTTAAGCGATACACTTAATCGCTTAAGCGATTGTGCATCTAGGCAGAAGTTTATTCTGTCTCGGACATGATCGCTTAAGCGATTTGTAATCGCTTAAGCGACCAAGGTTAAAAGCAAAGGATCGCTTAAGCGATAGAATAAATGCTTAAGCGATCGTGCGTCTAGACACTTATTGATTCTGTCTTGTTCGTGACGCTTAAGCAACCAAATGTAAAAGATAGAATCGCTTAAGCGATAACATAAATACAACCAGATCGCTTAAGCGACTAAGTCTAAATACACAGGATCGCTTAAGCAAGAAATGAAATCTCTTAAGCGATCCAGTGTATTTGGATTATTTTTATTGTACTTCACTAGATTGGTTAAACGATTAACGCTATCTTAGACATATAAGGTGTACGATTCATTCAGTGGACCATTACCGTTATTATATTTTGATTAAATTAGTTCTTTTACGGCTATATTAAACATATATTGGAGAAGTTTATGTCTATATAAACATATCAGGTGTACGGTTTGTTTAGTGGGGATCATGACCGTTATTATATTTAATTAAATTAGTTCTTTTACGGCTATATTAAACATATATGGTGTAGAATGTTTACGTTATATTAAACATATCAGGTGTACGATTCATTCAGTGGACCATGACCGTTGTATATTTTAATTAAATTAGTTCTTTTACGGCTATATTAAACTATATGGTGTATAATGTTTTACGTCTATATAAACATATCAGGTATACAATTCGTTCAGTAGACATGACCGAGTTATATATTTAATTAAATTAGTTCTTTTACGGCTATGTTAAACATATATGGTATAGATGTTTACATCTATATTAAACATATCATGTTATGTTCAATAGACTATGATCGTTATATATTTTAATTAAATTAGTTCTTTTAAGGCTATATTAAACACATATGGTGTAGAATGTTTACGTCTATATAAACAATCAGGTGTACGATTCGTTCAGTAGACCATAAACGTTATTATATTTAATTAAATTAGTTCTTTTACGACTATATTAAACTATATGGTGGTATAATGTTTACGTCTATATTAAACAATCAAGTGTACGATTCATTCAGTGGATCATGATCGATATTATATTTTAATTAAATTAGTTTTTTTACGGCTATATTAAACATATATGGTGTAAATGTTTAGTCTATATTAAATATATCAGGGGTACAATTATTCAGTGGACCATAACCGATATTATATTTTAATTAAGTAGTTCTTTTACGGCTATATAAACATATATGGTGTAGAATGTTACGTCTATATTAAACATATCAGATGTACGATTCGTGCAGTAGACCATGACCGTATTATATTTTAATTAAATTAGTTCTTTTACGACTATATTAAACATATATGGTTAGAATGTTTATGTCTATATTAAACTATCAGGTGTACGATTCGTCCAGTGGACCATGACCGTATTATATTTTGATTAAATTAATTCTTTACAGCTATATTAAACATATATGATGGAGAATGTTTAAATCTATATTAAACATATCAGGTGTACGGTTGTTCAGTGGTCATGATCGTTATATATTTTAATTAAATTAGTTCTTTTACGGTTATATTAAACATATATGGTGTAGAATGTTAAGTCTATATTAAACATATAGGTGTACGGTTTGTTCAGTGGACTATGACCGTTATAATTTTAATTAAATTAGTTCTTTTAAGTCTATATTAAACATATGTCCATAAACTGGAAAATAAATATTGAAGTAAATTAACTTAATCGTTTTAAGCGATCTCGTCTATTTAGCCTGGTCTACAGAGTGCAGAATAGATGGTTGCAGAGTTCAATTTTATATCAATATTATATTTTTTTATATTACTTTCTTGCCAAGAACTAACACAAAATAATAGAATAACAATAGATTTTTCAGTTTTATGTATGGTGCTTATGACAAAGAACGAAGTGGTTCTTTTCACATTCTATTGAAATGAAAAAAATAATTAATAATTAATAAAAAAAGACTAAATATTAAATAAACATTATGGAATATATTTCTTACCGAAGTATATTGCTTACTGCATGGCTAAATTGCTTACTGCATCGCTTAAGCGATCCAGTATATCGCTTAAGCGACCTAGTACAAATAAGTCTGATCGCTTAAGCGATGCTGCTATATACTGATCGCTTAAGCGATCTGTTGCATATACTAGACTTTAACCAGATCGCTTAAGCGATCTTCATCTATACCAGATTGCTTAAGCGATCTGGTACCATATACCAGACTTATACCAGATCGCTTAAGCGATCTCTGTCATATACCAGATCGCTTAAGCGATCCATCAGATCCAAAAATACATTTTCAGCCATCTCCACCTGCAATCGATCCATCATACCCAGAACACATACCCAGAACAAATTTTCAATAAATTTCACTCCTTTCAACTTGCATTACATCAAATACAACCCAACAACCTAAACAACTAAATCAAAATCATAACCTAAACCCACCATTATAAACTTTGTAAATCTAAATATAAAATGTAAAGAGAAGATACACATATTTACACGAAATGTCAGGAGGAGGGGGATTGCGGTGAAGATATAATGGTGGAGGAGAAGAAAGTGTTAATGGCGGAGGAACAAGAAGAATAGAGGAAGGAGGAAGAAGAAAGATGTAGAGGAAGGAGTAAGAAGAAGATGTAGAAGTGAGAAGAAGATGCAGACGAAGAAGAAGATGTAGACGAAGCTGAGAAGAAACAGTAACCAAGGTGGAGATGCGTTAATGGTGGGAGGGGAAGAAGAAGATGTTTGGGTTTGTTTGCAAGAATTTCAGATTTTTGAGAATATAGTATAATTTTTAAAAGATTATATAATACTTCATTAATCCTAATTACCCTTAATCAATAATATGACTATCTAGTAAAACTTTAAAACTTGATAGCTTTTTAATTAAATCCAAACTTAAAAGGTTGTTTTAATAAACTGCCCCTTCAGTGTTAAGTATATAAAAGTATAAATGAGATTATGAGAAGACGAAAATACGCCTAGAGGAGTTTTATTTCATTATAATTATTTATTTATTTTATTTTTTGGGAAGGTAAATTATCTTCAATCCACTGATATCAAATTATGTGGTTTATAATAAATGATCAACTGTCCTTATTTAGTACCTTTGGATAAACTTTGATATCCATAACTTCTTATAATTATATCAAAATAATTTTTAATGTAAAAAATATAATTTCAATTTAACAAATAAATTTATATTATTTCGGTCCAATGAATAGACATTCAAACATATTGTCTATTGTGGGACAATCCTTGACTAAAGAATTGCCTATAGATATTAAAATATATATCTACTGTTTTATTTAAGAAAGTTTTCTTCTCGTTTTTGATTTTATTAATGCTTGTTATGGTGCAATGAATGTATCCCCTTGATGAAACCAAGAATCATTCTCATATTATAAATTTGTTATGTTTTGGAAAAAAAAAAAAAAATGATATCTTTACAAAGACTCATACAAAGAATGTTACAAAGTGACATCATCCAGAAGAAAAAAACAAAAAAAACAGAAAAAGAGAAAGAGAGAAAGAGAGAGAAATCATGCAAATTAAGGGTAGAGATTGTCTTTGTATGCCCACTTTGTATGTGTCTTTGTAAAACTAGCATTACTCTTTTACAAAACAGTCATATTTATAGTAACAGAAGAAGCTTTGCACTGGGTCATGTTTGGTTTGGTTTGATTTATAAAAGTTGCATCAGAAATAAGAGTGGTGTTGGATCCCTCCCAAACTTGGGAAGAATGTCACCCATCACCAATAATGAATAACTAAAATACCTCTTCTTTAAATTGTGATCTCTCATTTTACCCCTAAATCAATTTATTTTATAATTCAATAATTATTTTTATTAAAATATTAATAATTAAATATTTTAGAATCTTAAGAAAATTTCAAAAATCTTTAAACATGAAAATGCACATTGCAAGGATTATGGTGATGTATCCAGCAACAAAGAATGAAAGAAGAGGCACATCTAAATTAAGAATGACTTGTTCCAACAAGTGTAAGAGTTTTAATATAATAAGACAACAAAAACGGAATAGAGAACTACAAGGGAAGGATTTGCAAGGAAAACTTTGCAGTTCGCAGTTCCTCCTCCCCTTTGTGTCCTCCATACAAGTATGAAATCTCAAAAGTCATGAATTTCGCCGCTCTTTACATTTGCTTCAAACTCATTGAAGTTCGCAGCCTACTCCGTTTCCCCTCACCTTTCCGCAAACATATTACTCTCTCTCTCTCTCTTTGTTCTTTATACTGTACTTGCTGTCTTGCTTGCCACAGTACCGTCAACATTTTGATGTTCTTCCTTCATTGCAGCTTTAATGCCACCAGTTCCATCGTCACTTCCGTTGCAGTCTTGTCCTTGTGTTTTTGCATCTAGCTTCTCCTTTGGAGAAGCATTATGATGGTTGGATTTCTCAACACCATTTTCTCTATCTGGCAGGGAAGCCATTTCTGTGGTTGAGTTCATCTCGGGTGCAGTTGTTGATAGTTGTTGATGAGATGATAAACTAGCTGAGCCTGGTGGAGGAAGGAAAACTCCGGTGCCAGGAACAGGAAGGCGAGGAGCAGGAGGATGCCTTGGTGGAGCTGCAGCCCATCCAGTTGATCCAGCTGGAATGGGGACCGGTGCTGGGAAAGGCATTCCTTGGGCAACTGGGGTGGTAACAAAAAGGGGCTGAACACCATTTGGTGGAGGAATTTGTGTCCGAATTGGAGCTGGCAATACACCAGTTGTTGGAACTGGGGTATAATGCTTGGGGCCAACAGGCTGGCGAATAGGATTTGGGGATCTACTGGGTGGTGGACCCCAGTGCGGCAACGGGGCTAATGCAGATGAAGGAAGACGCTGACTATCACTTGCGGTAAATTTCTTTGGTTGAGACTTGGTGAAAGTAATAAGTATGCGTTGTTTTCGGATGGAAGGAATTGCATGTTTAGCAAAATCTGCAGATTTTCCTTGCATCACAAGCAGAGATCTGTCATAAAGAACGAGAGAACCAAGAATGTAAGGCATCAAGGGAAACTAAACTAATGAATTAACAAATAAATAAAGATGCTGATACCAAGTAATTAAATATCAAATCAAATCATTGATAAAATGTTAATTTATACGCGCCTTGGTTCAAAAAATTGAACACATTTCTAAGCTCCATTCTACGGAAAACCTGATAGGACAGCTCTTAATTAGAGCTAAAACTGAATAAAGGGGATGGCTTAAATCGGGTAAGGATTTTGTTTTTTACCAAAAATTCCTGAACTTTTCCTGTATGTTCACCAAGTTCTAAAACTAGAGTTACTTCCAAACTTGACAACTTTGATAGCCAAGAAACTACTAGTGGGATATAATATCCCAAGTAGTCCCAAGCAGATTTTGAACCCTTTGCCCTCTTTGTTGAAACCAAAAACCCAGTAGGTTCAGGACTATAATTGTGTCACTGGCTACCACCAAGAGAAACAAAACAATGGTAGCAAATGCCTCAAATAGGAAGTTTATGGGATATATTGCAGCTGTGGTTCAAACTTTAAGGAAAATTTAAGAGCTTTTTGTTGAGAACTTCAGGGATAGTGATCATACAATCATAGGTGATTTCTCCATCCAGCCTTCATTGATTGCACAAATCAGTAGATGACTCAAGGTACTGATTTCACAAGAAGAAAACGTTGGGTTGTGTATCTATTGGAAAAAGACAAATTTCAAAATGTCTAATGACTACAAGGCATTCAATATTTGAAAATTAGGTTCCATGTCATGATATGGGATTCATATAAAAAAATTAAATAAAAAAAATTGTACAATCTTAAGGCCCTGGGAAAGCAAGCATTGGGGAAGAATGTATTTCGAAGGCCCCAATCAAGGATGTAGCACCTCTGACACTGATATGCAATATTACCTGCTCGGTTTAAGACTGAAAACCATTAAGCTAGTTCCAGATATTGGCCCTAGGTTGAGAAACGTCAAACATTCAAGTTATGATAATTCTTTTTCCAAAAAAGCTCAAGTGTTACAAACAGCAACAAGCTAGAAAGGCAGAGTAGAGGTTTAAGATGAATACCCAGGAGCAAGAGAAAGCTTAAGAGCGCCTTTATAATCTCCAGGATGGTCTGCTCCAATCATTCTGCCAAAAGTCATTTCACATTCTGTCAGGAAAAGGGTGCTAACTGGCCGTCCAAACCAATGTGGCCAAATGTGAGGCTGTGAGTGATCACCCTACAAAAATACTAACATGATTAGCTTCGCTTTCACCTTGTACGTTTATCTTTAACCATTAAGCAAAATCCTAGAATTAGCAACCTCATTATAGACATCAATGATGCATGAATCTGGCTTTACTGTCATAATTTGCATGCCAACTAAGCGTTCAATAACATCTTGCAGCAAGGCAGGAATGGGTTCTATTCTCCGATCTGAAAAATTTATTGATGCAAAATTGTAAAACAAAGATTAATGGGTCTTTATTGTTCAAAAACTACGAATTACAGAACAGAATAGAAGCTCCTCAGAAAATGGCACTTGCATTTAGAGGTCCCCACTGCATTTTCATCTTCTGGAGGTGCATCTGCAATTGGGAGGCCCAATTGAATCATCTCTCTTCCATGTCCCTTCATTGGCCTCTTTGAGACCACATATGCTTGACCTGTGTTAAAGGATTGACTTTTTAACGGTTTACAACCAAATCTAAAGCTTTAGAACAAAAATAATTATTAGAGGAGCAATTGTAACACTATCAAGCTGTCCGTCATCAGGTTTCAGAGAGTGCACATGAATTATCAGCATCAGGATTCAAATTGCATGAAAAAATTAAGTGTTCTAGCCACTGTTGCTGCAAAATCGACATACTATTGACTTCACAAGATACAACTTTTACATGCCATAACATCAATAAAAAATATTCATTAAATGGAACAAGACAAGCACACCATCATTTATCACATGCCTAGATTCTCACTTCAGTGAAACTATAAGAAAACCTTTAATAACAATCGATCAATGGCCTTAAAAAAAAAAAAAGGAAAAGAAAAGGCCTAAATGAGTTCTTTTTCCTAGACACAGAAAAGAAACGTTCAAACCTAAAGACAATGGTAAGTAGCAAACACGAAGCATTGAATCATACTGCTGAAACTTTTTGGGATCAGTATGTGGCTAATACATACTAGCATGGGCATGAAAGAATATATCTTTTGCTTTCTCTAAATCAATTTACCATCTATTTGCAGAACTTTTTACTATTCTAAACACCATTGCTTACCTGTCACCGCTTTGACAAAGGGTGGGCAGAATAAAGTGTGGATCCCATACCAGAAGACGAATTTTAAGAAAACAGTGATAGGATGGTGCAAATGGCATGTGCAAAAGTACTTATTATGAGAGTAGATACAAGGCTTATCATGCCAAGACTGGTTTGGAATATCAAGGGACACAACTACTCAGCTCAAACATTCTTACTGAGCATCCAATCTTATTTCAGGTAATAATATAAGTGGATCCATTCTTCTTTCTTCTTTGATACAACCACCCCTTTCTTACAATTGGATACATTTTGAAAAATCAAAGTAATTTCTCAGGGGCTTTGGGGCTGAAAATCCAAGAAATTAATAGACAAAAATATCTAAAACACATAGATGTTTTTGTAGGAAATTCTTTAGGCTCAAATCATGCACAACTACAACTCAGTCTGATGCCACCACACAATAGTTCTTAGGTCCATATCACCAAAGCCCACACTCTCTAGAACCCACATAATGGATAATAGATAAATATTCCCACCACCCAGTGCTATAGCAAACTATAGTTACTCATGTCACCACCAGCCAAAATAAAAGATAGTGTCCAATGCTTCTTTATCAGGAAAATTTCAGGATTTGTCTTCGACATCCTAGAAGCAACATGAGGAGAGGCATATGATGACATGGGAATAAAATCTCATGCAATACCGGACATGGCAGCACAAGCATTGAATCTTTCTGATATCAGAATCAACAAAAGTGTACTTACCGTCACTCCTTCAATAATGTATGCCTTTAGAAAGTCCTTTTACTCGAACCACTAAGTCTCATACATGTATCAAAGTGTTAACTAGGAGCAAGTATGAGACTGTAAAATCAAGCACGTTAGAACTAGAACTATATATACCACGTTTAACCAAGTTCAAACAAACCTTATGACAAGTCTAGACGAAATAAATCTGCCCGAGCAATCTTAAAAATAACTTACTAACAGAGCAAAGCCATGGAGGGGGTGTTAAAAGGATAGCCCGAATCACTGTAATGGAATGTGAATCATACACAATATTTTTAAATTTTATCTTTCTATAAAAGTAACGGCATCCATTAGCCAAACTATGTTTCCAGAGATAAAACTCTCATGTCTTNAGAACTAGAACTATATATACCACGTTTAACCAAGTTCAAACAAACCTTATGACAAGTCTAGACGAAATAAATCTGCCCGAGCAATCTTAAAAATAACTTACTAACAGAGCAAAGCCATGGAGGGGGTGTTAAAAGGATAGCCCGAATCACTGTAATGGAATGTGACTCATACACAATATTTTTAAATTTTATATTTCTATAAAAGTAACGGCATCCATTAGCCAAACTATGTTTCCAGAGATAAAACTCTCATGTCTTAACCACCACCGGGTGGCCTAGAGGTAAAAGAACAAAAGGAGGTTCCCTAAGCTCCTGAGTTCAAGTCCCCCTAGACCCTAATAGGGGTGACCCCGGGAGATTAGTTAAAGTGCATGCAATCTGGCCCGGACAATCCCGGTGATTAAAAAAATAATAATAATAAAAAAAAAAAAAAAAAAGTGAGCAAACTTGCCTTGAATTTGACCTCTTTTCCCTGCAGCTCTTAAATCATTAACCATTGAAACAAGCTTTGAAACTTCTGAATTAGCACATAGTTCTTCATATAATTTCAGTCCATCAACCACATTAACCTTAAAAAATAGAATACCGTAAGAGCTTAGCAGCAGACAAAACAAAAGAAATTGTACAATTATATCCAAGAAATGTGTAAATTCTCACTACCGTCTTCCCATCAAACATCTCTGAACCAACAAAAGTTTTTGGAGCTGCAGTGAGATTCTGCTTCTCATTCTGATTTTGAACGGAATGTGAGTCACTCTCTGGGAGAACATTCAAAGATCCATGTAAGTGGAATAAATAATGTTATTTTGCATAACAACTACAATGCCAAAGAAAGCCAGAGCGTGTAAGGAGCATATAGACACACACATAACATACGAGTTTAAAATAGAATGTGTTATTAAGTAACAATCAAAGTTGAAATTAAACACATGATGAAGATAAACAATAGTAGGTATACCTTTAGGGCTTGGGGTGCATCCATCATCTGATGCCTCAGCTTTAGGATCCAAATTGCCAGATTTAGTCATTTCTGAATCCCCTAAATTCGTTGAGCTGCCATCTTCAGCAGCTTTTGTAACAGCATCTGCTCCACACAATGATTTTATAAATTAAAAAAAAAAATATGCTTAAATCAAATTGATCTAACACACTCTGAAAAATTGAATTTAATTATTTTCTTCTCTTAGAACTTTCATCAAGTGCTTAATAAACCACAAATCATGCAATTTAATTTTATTATACAAACATACAATTACATGATATACGGTTAGAAGCAAACTTCATGAAAAGATACTGCCATTGATGATTGAATTTAAGACCATAACTAGGCTCTGAAAGGTGAAGGTATAGGTATCTTTCAAATGAAGGAAGAAGAAAAATTAAGAGAAGAATAAACTTAAAATGATACAACACAAGAAACCAATTACCATAATAGAATGTCCTATTTATTAAAATAAACTTAAAAGGATAGAACACAAGAAACCAATTACCATAATATAATGTCCAATTTATTAAAGTTGCTTCAAAGTAAGATAGTAATCCACAGGTAACCCAATTTACATAACACACAAGCTAAATTAATAATTAATATAAATAAACCAAATCTACTTTCCAGAATTGTAAAACATAATAACGGATAAGAAACATACAAATATAGTCAAAAGTTAGTCCCGCAGTCAAAAGAACACAGATGAAAATCACAAATCCAAATCCATCTCTAAACCATTAATCAAAACAGAGCAAAATAAAATAAACCCATTTACATTATCCAAAAAGCAATTACCTTTCTTATAATTACTATCCAAAGCTGAAGAATTTGCATCAACGGAATGATTATCCTTATCCACACTAGAATTATACACATCCTTCTTAACAAAGCCACTAGATCTCTTACTATTCTTGTTATAGGTGAATGGATCAAAGAACCTCGATTGTTTTTTCCAAGTCACTTGTTGCAAAGCAAACAACACATCCCCAACAGAAAAATACTGCTGCATATGGAGCACTTGGGACCAATTAGACCTCCTGTTCTGAATGTAATTCAAAACTACATCATACTCTCCACCCTCACCAACTGAACGCAAATGCTGACAAAGAGCGTCAATTATAGCATTAGCAGCGGCGAACTCACTCCTCAACCAAAAAATAAACCCATCTCGCTCATCAGGGAACTGCATTTTGTTATCGGACAAAACCACATTCCCGGATGGCATTGCCATAGCCAACTAAAACAAGAACATAAATTTAGATCCAAGTTAAACCAAAATGAAATCTTGGGATCAACCCAGAATGAGGAATTGTACAGATCTGAAAAGGGTATGTTTGGAAGAGTGAATAGTTGAGAGTGAAGAGATCTAGGGTTTGGGATTGAATGGAAATGGCTTATGAAGCACGCATGTGTATTGTCTTAAATGGTGGCTCTCTCTCTCTCTGGAGTTAAAGTTTGGTTTTGGCTTTTGGGAGCTGAGTACCACACAGAATATTCTTTTATACGTAGGGGTGATTTCGGGATTTCCTTAATGTTTAATCAACACTTAAACTACTCAGTTAAGAGTTTCCAACTTTGTTAGAATTTCTTTTTCGAATTTTGGAATTTGGATTAGAGATTAAATTTTGTTAACTTATCTTCTTCTTTTAACTTTCAAATTTACAACTTTGAGATGTAATATTTATTTCTTTTTAAGTATGTATGATATTAATATTGGATTCCATTCAATATCTTTGGTCGGATTTATTTTAAGAAAATAGATATTTCATAAGATCGAATATTGTTAATTTTGTGTATCTTTGATATTATTGATAGGATTTGATATCTGATTCTATAAAAAATATGAATTGCAGACTAAGAAGTCATTCAAAATTTCGAGTATATTTTAAGAAATAATGATGATATGATACAAGTAACATGATTTATACTTCTAAATTCTAATATGACGTTCAGAGTTACACTTTTATTTAAAGTGTGTATGATATTAATATTGGATTTGATTAGAGATATGTTTTTGTATGAAAATGCATCTCATGAGGTGAAGTTGTAGTTGTTCGGATTCATTTTAAGAAAATAGATGTATTATAAGATATGATATTATTGCTAGAATTTGAAATCTAATTCTACAACTATATATACATTCTAGGACTAAGAAGTCATCCAAAATTCCATATTGATGATAAGATATAAATAATACGTTTTATACTAATGATGTAACGTTTAAAGTTGCACCTCTCGACAGCATAAATGTCATATTTGATTTTGTTAATTTGAAGTATGGATGATTTTTTACTAGAATTTGAAATCTGATTTTATATTAAGACACATATTAAGGGATTGCATAGATCCATTTTGAGAAAATGTTTTCTCATTTTCATTTAAAAAAAAATAGGCAAAAACTTGTGTTCAAATTGGTGTTTTGGAAAAATGTTTTGACAAAATGCAATCCCAATAGACTATTTTTAATAAAAGAAAGACAAAAACAAATATATGCATTTATATCTTCAATGTTCATTTCTCAAGCTCTATACTATTTTAAAAACAATACCAAACATATTATTTAATATTGAAAAATATAAAATTAAATCTCTTCTATCCATTTATTATCTAGCATTAATTAAGAGCAAATTGTATAATTTTTTATCCAATCACATGAAGTCAAATTATATATAGATGATAATCACGATTACCTAGTGTGAAACAAATGTTATCAACACAATCCAATGCGTAATTGCAAACAAAATAATTCAAAGTAAACGATAAACTTTAACCAATTTCAACTATTTGTTGTCCAAACTTACAAAATTAATGCACCACTAAATATGGAATTTGACATTAAGCCAAACTCATTTGCAAGGAATAATAATAGTAACTACTTTTAGTCTAAACCAGTGTTTCTTTTATAGAACTTATGTAATTAATGTGTATTTTTATGTAAAAGTTCTTTTTATATAATACACTAAAACAAAATTTTGAGTTAATTAATTATTCCATTACTTGTAAATCTTTTGCAGTAATATATTACTAAAAAGGAGCATTAGTATAAAGAAGAAATAAAGTAAACGTTTTTAAAGAAATATAAGAATAAAACTCATTTAAGAATAAGTTTAAAGGGAGCCAAAATATTTATTGTGCCAGGATATAATGACTTCAATTTTGACTTAAAATGGTGACACAATTTTTTAGCCTTTGGGTGCATTTGGTTCAGAGAATGTTGTATTATTGAGAATATTAGAGCATCTCCAAATGACTTTTTATATGACCCAAACTCTTTATTATAAAAAGTCTATCCATAAAAACAAAAGTCAGAGCATCTCCAATGATGCTCTTTATTTGAAGAGCATCTTTTATATAAATAAAGAGCATCTTTATTAATTTTTAAATATAAAGAACATAATTTTTATTCAAATCCAATAGACTCTTTAAATTTAATGAAGATGTTCTTTATTTTTAAGAAAGAGACTTAATGGGAGAGAGAATTAATAAATAAAATGCATAGAAACTTGTAGTATATTAATTAAAATTAGGATAGAGAGTAAAATTTGACTCTCTAAATGTGAAGAGTCAATCAAACTCACTCTCTAATTTATATTTTAAAGATAAAGAGTCTATTGGAGTCTTGTTTTTATGAATAGACTCTTTATAATAAAGAGTTTGGATCATATAAAGAGTCATTTGGAGATGCTCTCAAACATACTCTTTATCCTTTAAATATAAATTTAAGAGTGAGTTTAGCTCTCTATATCTAGAAAGTCAAATTTAATCCTAATATTAATTAATAAAATACAAGTTTCTATACATTTTATTTTTAAATTCTCTCTCCTATTAAGTCATTTTCTTGAAAATAAAGAGCATCTTCATTAAATTTAAAGAGTCTATTGGATTTGAATAAAAAATTTGTTTTTTATATTTAAAATTAATGAAAATGATATTTATTTATATGAAAGATACTTTTTAAAATAAAGAACACTATTAGAGATACTCTTATATTACGCGATAGAAAGATTATCTTGAAGATTACTGGGAATATTTAAGAAAATGTGTTTGGTTATGTTGGAATAAATTTATGAGTATGTTATATTGATATGTTTGGTTGGAAAGATAAATGGGTGGGTAAGTTATATAGATTACTAAATTACCCTCCTTTTTAAATATTAATATAATATCATTTTTATTAAAAAAATTTGAATCATTTCTTTTAACCCCCTCCATTTGAAATTTTGTTAAAACACCGTAGCCATATAAAATTTAATTTGTAACAAAATCACCCCCACCCACCCAAGGGACTGTCGGTCACCACCTTCGGCAGTCGCCGTAACGGCACACTACCGACCGAATCTGGCTGATTGTGTGTCGTTCAGGTCGTTCAGATCCATGGCCAGATCTAGCTGTTTGACGGCCAAAGATGTGGCTGTGAAATGGTCAGATCTGGTTGTTTCTGTGTGATCCATGGCCGAAAGCAGCCTGACTGGCGCACGACTAGCCAAATCCCCCAACTGTGCATCGTTCCAATGGTGGTCGGCAATCCCTTGGCTGGCTGAGGTGGTGGCTAGGGGTGGCTGTGGCCTTGGGTAATTTTGTCTTAAAAATCCTAAGTATGAGGTTAAAGTTGTCCATAAATTTTATTGTAAATTATTTAGTTAACAATGGCATTTTTGTCCAAAATTTATATTAATAAGGGATAAAATTATAACAAAAATAAGATTACCAAGTAATCTTAAAATACCTAAAAAAATGGAGGTAATCAAATTATCTCCTATATTACTAGCAGTAATTACTATTGGTTTTGGAAGATTATTGGAATCTTATACTACTTGACAATCAAATGTGATAATCAAGTAATATAAGATGACATTACCTCAGTAATCTCATACTATCCCCAACCAAACACACCCTTGATATTTTACAATCTTGTTGATGCTAAAAAATCGTACTCCTAGCTCCATCAATAAAGATGGAGTATTTGAGTTTAGGATCTGGTGTTATAGATCTTTCCCTTCTTCTCCAAAGTTTTTGAAGAAAATCCTAGGTACTATAACTTTGAGGAAGCTCCAACAGTGGCTTTAATGGTAGAAAATGAGAGAACAAGTGGTTAATAGCTCAAGTCGGTAGGGTGTTTTACTGGTGTAGGCCCTCCAAAACTCAAGGTAGCACGATATACAATGGAGAAGCTTGTAAAAAGAGCATATAAAGGATAATCAATAGTAACGGAAACTTAGTAGGTCCAAAAATGGAAGTGCAATAACTCCACAGAGACATGCAGAGAATGTTTAGTAAATAAGAAAGGGGGCAACCTCCAAATCTAGAAACTTAATCCAAAACATACCTTCCAAGGCAAACAACTTTTAATCCTTCATATAGTGCTAGGGATTTGGTGGTTTGTTGCCAAGTGGCTCGCTTGAACACTGACAAGTGGCATTGTGAGCCTTTTAGGGCTAGACCACCAAAGATTCCCTAATAATGTTGAGTTGTGTAGATGATGATGTGGTAAACCCCTTGTGGAGTGTCTATTGACAACTCTACACATGTTAAGTGTTTTAAGGAGATAAAGGAGTCTTGCGCTCCAAGTAACATGTCAGTGAAAGCCCATTAAATCATGGAGTGATAATTGGAGCAACCCTTGCGGTGTTGATGATGTCTGGCAACGAGGGGCGACTAGTGGACTAATTACCGTTTTGGCTCTCTCTACTATAGCATAACTTATGGTGCTGGTAAGGCAACAAGTGCAAGTGGGCAACGCCGCACTTAACTCAATAACAAATTATTTCATGTGCACTTCTCTGCTATGGTAGATAACGAGTGGAAGTGACATTTACACACTTTTTCTGTCATTGATTTTCTATCGATGTTGGGTGACCAACAATGTTGGTATTGATTGGGCGATCAACAGAGTAATGCTACTAGAGCGATGTTCATTTTTCAGCAACAAACGACATTTTCTTAGTGCTTGGAAGATTTCACCCATAACAAATCTAATGGTCGTAAATTAGAAGTAACAAGTGATTATTTCTTATGTTGTGTTAATACCAAAAAACTGCTACTCTAGCACTAATAACAGAGGTGAAGTAATAAGCATAATAATTATTCCATTACTTGTAAATCTTTTGCAGTAATATATTACTAAAAGGAGCATTAGTAAAAGAGAAAAAAAGTAAACGTTTTAAAGAAATATAAGAATAAAACTCATTTAAGAATAAGTTTAAAGGGAGCCAAAATATTTATTGTGCCAGGATATAATGACTTCAATTTTGACTTAAAATGGTGACACAATTTTTAGCCTTTGGGTGCATTTGGTTCAGAGAATGTTGTATTATTGAGAATATTAGAGCATCTCCAAATGACTTTTATATGACCCAAACTCTTTATTATAAAAAGTTATCCATAAAAACAAAAGTCAGAGCATCCAATGATGCTCTTTATTTGAGAGCATCTTTTATATAATAAGGCATCTTTAAATTTTAATATAAAGAACATAATTTTTATTCAAAACCAATAGACTCTTTAAATTTAATGAAGATGTTCTTTATTTTTAAGAAAGAGACTTAATGGGAGAGAGAATTATAAATAAAAAAGCATAGAAACTTGTTGTATATTAATTAAATTAGGATAGAGAGTAAATTTGCTCTCTAAAGTGAAGAGTCAATCAACTCACTCTCTAAATTTATTTTTAAGATACACAAGAAACCAATTACCATAATATAATGTCCAATTTATTAAAGTTGCTTCAAAGTAAGATAGTAATCCACAGGTAACCCAATTTACATAACACACAAGCTAAATTAATAATTAATATAAATAAACCAAATCTACTTTCCAGAATTGTAAAACATAATAACGGATAAGAAACATACAAATATAGTCAAAAGTTAGTCCCGCAGTCAAAAGAACACAGATGAAAATCACAAATCCAAATCCATCTCTAAACCATTAATCAAAACAGAGCAAAATAAAATAAACCCATTTACATTATCCAAAAAGCAATTACCTTTCTTATAATTACTATCCAAAGCTGAAGAATTTGCATCAACGGAATGATTATCCTTATCCACACTAGAATTATACACATCCTTCTTAACAAAGCCACTAGATCTCTTACTATTCTTGTTATAGGTGAATGGATCAAAGAACCTCGATTGTTTTTTCCAAGTCACTTGTTGCAAAGCAAACAACACATCCCCAACAGAAAAATACTGCTGCATATGGAGCACTTGGGACCAATTAGACCTCCTGTTCTGAATGTAATTCAAAACTACATCATACTCTCCACCCTCACCAACTGAACGCAAATGCTGACAAAGAGCGTCAATTATAGCATTAGCAGCGGCGAACTCACTCCTCAACCAAAAAATAAACCCATCTCGCTCATCAGGGAACTGCATTTTGTTATCGGACAAAACCACATTCCCGGATGGCATTGCCATAGCCAACTAAAACAAGAACATAAATTTAGATCCAAGTTAAACCAAAATGAAATCTTGGGATCAACCCAGAATGAGGAATTGTACAGATCTGAAAAGGGTATGTTTGGAAGAGTGAATAGTTGAGAGTGAAGAGATCTAGGGTTTGGGATTGAATGGAAATGGCTTATGAAGCACGCATGTGTATTGTCTTAAATGGTGGCTCTCTCTCTCTCTGGAGTTAAAGTTTGGTTTTGGCTTTTGGGAGCTGAGTACCACACAGAATATTCTTTTATACGTAGGGGTGATTTCGGGATTTCCTTAATGTTTAATCAACACTTAAACTACTCAGTTAAGAGTTTCCAACTTTGTTAGAATTTCTTTTTCGAATTTTGGAATTTGGATTAGAGATTAAATTTTGTTAACTTATCTTCTTCTTTTAACTTTCAAATTTACAACTTTGAGATGTAATATTTATTTCTTTTTAAGTATGTATGATATTAATATTGGATTCCATTCAATATCTTTGGTCGGATTTATTTTAAGAAAATAGATATTTCATAAGATCGAATATTGTTAATTTTGTGTATCTTTGATATTATTGATAGGATTTGATATCTGATTCTATAAAAAATATGAATTGCAGACTAAGAAGTCATTCAAAATTTCGAGTATATTTTAAGAAATAATGATGATATGATACAAGTAACATGATTTATACTTCTAAATTCTAATATGACGTTCAGAGTTACACTTTTATTTAAAGTGTGTATGATATTAATATTGGATTTGATTAGAGATATGTTTTTGTATGAAAATGCATCTCATGAGGTGAAGTTGTAGTTGTTCGGATTCATTTTAAGAAAATAGATGTATTATAAGATATGATATTATTGCTAGAATTTGAAATCTAATTCTACAACTATATATACATTCTAGGACTAAGAAGTCATCCAAAATTCCATATTGATGATAAGATATAAATAATACGTTTTATACTAATGATGTAACGTTTAAAGTTGCACCTCTCGACAGCATAAATGTCATATTTGATTTTGTTAATTTGAAGTATGGATGATTTTTTACTAGAATTTGAAATCTGATTTTATATTAAGACACATATTAAGGGATTGCATAGATCCATTTTGAGAAAATGTTTTCTCATTTTCATTTAAAAAAAAATAGGCAAAAACTTGTGTTCAAATTGGTGTTTTGGAAAAATGTTTTGACAAAATGCAATCCCAATAGACTATTTTTAATAAAAGAAAGACAAAAACAAATATATGCATTTATATCTTCAATGTTCATTTCTCAAGCTCTATACTATTTTAAAAACAATACCAAACATATTATTTAATATTGAAAAATATAAAATTAAATCTCTTCTATCCATTTATTATCTAGCATTAATTAAGAGCAAATTGTATAATTTTTTATCCAATCACATGAAGTCAAATTATATATAGATGATAATCACGATTACCTAGTGTGAAACAAATGTTATCAACACAATCCAATGCGTAATTGCAAACAAAATAATTCAAAGTAAACGATAAACTTTAACCAATTTCAACTATTTGTTGTCCAAACTTACAAAATCAATGCACCACTAAATATGGAATTTGACATTAAGCCAAACTCATTTGCAAGGAATAATAATAGTAACTATTTTTAGTCTAAACCAGTGTTACTTTTATAGAACTTATGTAATTAATGAGTATTTTTATGTAAAAGTTCTTTTTATATAATACACTAAAACAAAATTTTGAGTTAATTAATTATTCCATTACTTGTAAATTTTTTGCAGTAATATATTACTAAAAAGGAGCATTAGTATAAAGAAGAAATAAAGTAAACGTTTTTAAAGAAATATAAGAATAAAACTCATTTAAGAATAAGTTTAAAGGGAGCCAAAATATTTATTGTGCCAGGATATAATGACTTCAATTTTGACTTAAAATGGTGACACAATTTTTTAACCTTTGGGTGCATTTGGTTAAGAGAATATTGTATTACTGAGAATATTAGAGCATCTCCAAATGACTCTTTATATGACCCAAACTCTTTATTATAAAGAGTCTATCCATAAAAACAAGAGCCAGAATATCTCCAATGATGCTCTTTATTTGAAGAGCATCTTCATTAATTTTTAAATATAAAGAACATAATTTTTATTCAAATCCAATAGACTCTTTAAATTTAATGAAAATGTTCTTTATTTTTAAGAAAGAGACTTAATGGAAGAGAGAATTAATAAATAAAATGCATAGAAACTTGTAATTTATTAATTAAAATTAGGATAGAGAGTGAAATTTGACTCTCTAAATGTAAAGAGTGAAACTCACTCTCTAATTTATATTTTAAAGATAAAGAGTCTGTTGGAGTCTTGTTTTTATGAATAAACTCTTTATAATAAAGACTTTGGATCATATAAAGAGTCCTTTGGAGATGCTCTCAAACATACTCTTTATTCTTTAAATATAAATTAAAGAGTGAGTTTAGCTCTCTATATCTAGAAAGTCAAATTTAATCCTAATATTAATTAATAAAGTACAAGTTTCTATACATTTTATTTATAAATTTTCTCTCCTATTAAGTCATTTTCTTGAAAATAAAGAGTATCTTCATTAAATTTAAAGAGCCAATTGAATTTGAATAAAAAATTTGTTCTTTATATTTAAAATTAATGAAAATGATATTTATTTATATGAAAAATACTTTTTAAAATAAAGAATACTATTAGAGATACTCTTATATTAATGGATAGAAAGATTATCTTAAAGATTACTGTGAATATTTAAAAAATGCATTTGGTTATGTTGGAATAAATTTGTGAGTATGTTATATTGATATGTTTGGTTGGAAAGATAAATGGATGGGTAAGTTATATAGATTACTAAATTACCCTCCTTTTTAAATATTAATACAATATCATTTTTATTATTAATTTTTGAATCATTTCTTTTAACCCCCTACATTTGAAATTTTGTTAAAACACCCTAGCCATATAAAATTTAATTTGTAACAAAATCACCCCCACCCACCTAAGGGACTGCCGGTCACCACCTTCGGCAGTTGCCGTAATGGCACACTACCGATCGAATCTGGCTGATTGTGTGCCGTTAAGGTCATTCAGATCTATGGCCAGATCTAGCTATTTGAAGCGCCAAAGATGTGGCTGTGAAATGGTCAGATCTGGCTGTTTCTATGTGATCCATGGCCGGAAGCAGCCTTACTAGCGCACGACTGGCCAAATCCCCCAGCTGTGCATCGTTCCAATGGTGGTCGGCAATCCCTTGGCTGGTTGAGGTGGTGGCTAGGGGTGGCTGTGGCCTTGGGTAATTTTGTCTTAAAAATCCTAAGTATGAGGTTAAAGTTGTCCATAAATTTTATTGTAAATAATTTAGAATAACAATGGCATTTTTGTCTAAAATTTATATTAATAAGGGATAAAATTGTAACAAAAATAAGATTACCAAGTAATTTTAAAATACCTAAGAAAATGGAGGTAATCAAATTACCTCCTATATTACTAGCAGTAATTACTATTGGTTTTGGAAGATTATTGGAATCTTATATTACTTGACAACCAAACGTGATAATCAAGTAATATAAGATGACATTACCTCAGTAATCTCATACTACCCCCAACCAAACACACGCTTGATATTTTACAATCTTGTTGATGCTAAAAAATCGTACTCCTAGCTCCACCAATAAAGATGGAGTAATTTGATTTGAGTTTAGGATCTGGTGTTATAGATCTTTCCCTTCTTCTCCAAAGTTTTTGAAGAAAATCCTAGGTACTATAACCTTGAGGAAGCTCCAACAGTGGCTTTAATGGTGGAAAATGAGAGAACAAGTGGTTAATAGCTCAAGTCGGTAGGGTGTTTTACTGGTGTAGGTCTCCAAAACTCAAGGTAGCACGATATACAATGGAGAAGCTTGTAAAAAGAGCATATAAAGGATAATCAATAGTAACGGAAACTTAGTAGGTCCAAAAATGGAAGTGCGGTAAATCCACAGAGACATGCAAAGAATGTTTAGTAAATAAGAAAGGGGGCAACCTCCAAATCTAGAAACTTAATCCAAAACATACCTTCCAAGGCAAACAACTTTTAATTCTTCATATAGTGCTAGGGATTTGGTGGTTTGTTGCCAAGTGGCTCGCTTGAACAGTGACAAGTGGCATTGTGAGCCTTTTAGGGCTAGACCACTAAAGATTCCCTAATAATGCTGAGTTGTGCAGATGATGATGTGGTGAACCCCTTGTGGAGCGTCTATTGACAACTCTACACATGTTAAGTGTTCTAAGGAGATAAAGGAGTCTTGCGCTCCAAGTAACATGTCAGTGAGAGCCCACTGAAGCATGGAGTGATCATTGGAGCAACCCCTACGGTGTTGATAATGTCTGGCAATGAGGGGCGACTAGTGGACTAATTACCGTTTTGTCTCTCTCTACTACAGCATAACTTATGGTGTTGCTAAGGCAACGAGTGCAAGTGGGCAAAGCCACACTTAACTCAATAACAAATTATTTCATGTGCACTTCTTTGCTATGGTAGATAACGAGTGGAAGTGACATTTACACACTTTTTCTATCAGTGATTTTCTATCGATTTTGGGTGACCAACAATGTTGGTATTGATTGGGCGATCAACAGAGTAATGCTAATAGAGCAATGTTCATTTTTCAGCAACAAACGACATTTTCTTAGTGCTTGGAAGATTTCACCCATAACAAATCTAATGGTTGTAAATTGGAAGTAACAAGTGATTATTTCTTATGTTGTGTTAATACCAAAAAATTGCTACTCTAGCACTAATAGTAGAGGTGAAGTAATAAGCATGAGTTTTGGATTTGATGCAGCAGTCCCTTCCTTCTTCTTCTTCTTCTTCTCCTCCAAAGTTCTTGAATTAATTTTCCAAGTGTTGTAACTTCAAGGAAGCTCCAATAGTGGTTGTAATGGCTGAAAAGGGGGAAATAAGAGGTCGATAGCTCAAATCGACAAGGGACCTTGTTAGTGTAGTTTGTTTCTCCAATGCTCAAGTCAACGTGATACTTAATGGGGAAACTTGTAAGAAGAGCATAAAAAAAAAGAATCAATTATGTCTAAAACTTAGTAGGTCTAAAAATGGAGGTACAGCAAGTTCACTGAAATTCCAAAGAATGTTCAATGAAGAGGAAGAATATGGGCAACCCCCAAGTTTGGAAACCTAAAGATTACTTACCTTGCAAGACAAATCATT